AGTGTAGAATTTATTGTTTATGTATCTTGTGCTGTGTGCCCCTCATTTCTACTGTTTTGTAACTGGTGATGCAACACTGACATTTCTGGACTGTGGGACAAATAAAGGATCTCTAACTTTATCATAAAAAGAAGCAATTACTAAGTATAGAATGTCTAACTTTAATAATGAATAAAATCCATCAGTCAATCAGACTTCAACCAGATACAAACATGTGTTTGTGTCTAAGCATAATAGCAAAGAAGCAAGTACATATATGTGAACTTTCTGCCACTAGAGCTCAAGTCACAGTCAAACATTATTTTCTCCTCACAATAATTATCTTCACCCTCTAACATTCACTTCTTGAAGAAAGCAATGTATTTTTTATTCTTTTTTTTGGAAATTCTAAGTTGTAGGACCACTAAAACCACAAAATATGTTTGTATGTTTAATAAAAAAATAACCCCTGTTTTACTCCATGCTGCCACACTGACTCCTCCTTCTACACTCCTGCACCTGAGCTCAACAGCATCAGCTTCAGGGGCTCAGTAACACACCTGTGCTCATCACGTCATGGCTGCATTCAAACAGAGCCTCTCAGTTCTCTGCAGCTCAAGCTTCTGTTCGAGCAGTAACCCGCCTCCTCAGAGGAGAATCATGTCATGTCTTCGGCTCCGCTGCTTCGCCACCAGGGTCTAGGCCCCGGGAGGTTGCAAGCTCATCCTTTCTATTAAACTCCCTTCCGCAAACCTCACGCAGTATTCCTGCCGGGGTCTAGTCAAAGTAAAGTCTGCTGGTCTTTATTCATGCATCTTGACAATAAATATTCTAATGCAATCTTTGTCTTGAGTATTTCTAGATTGAAATCGGCCTTTAACAAATGCATAAGATGCCGTTTAATAGAAAAAGTGTCTAAAACCAAGTGAGATGCCCCAAAGAGGTAGATTTCAGTTCCAAGTTTAAAGTACAAAAGTAGTAGTATTAAAGTAGAGACTCAAAAGGTGATCTACCAAATGGTTGAGAAAACCATTAAATACTTCAAGTGTGGACCCTCAAAACTAGACTGAGACACATAGGACTAATTATTTGTATTATTTCATTTTCTTATCCTTCTGAATTCTTTGCGTATATGTTCCTGAACTGTTATTTTAAATTCTGACCTGTGATGTGGGTATAGCTAATTTGCCCGTGGCTATAGACACTGAATGTACTTTGACCTTGGTTTCCTTTGGAAAAGTTATTCTACTGTTCCCTGTCAAAAAACAAACACATTTCAAAACTTTTTGAAGACTCCCTTTTTGTTTCTGGTGTAAAATGTTGTAACACTTAATTTGACCGACTTCATTAAGGAGATTGGTCCCTAACGCCTCTCAATTATTCAAGTGACATTTTGGTCCCTTTCAATAATTCATTCGATTTAAGGCAGAACTACAGTGACCATGATAAAAACTGATCAAGCATTATTGTTAATATTTATTGTTTACTCATGCTCTATGCAATATGGGCCTAATGCTTGATATCTCACTTATACACTGCAAAAAGTGATTAAAAAATAAGTCAAAAATTGCTAATATTTGGATAAATGTGTCTTGATTTGAGCACATTCTGACTGCCTTAAACCACGATTTGCTCATGAGATAAAGCAAAATGATATTGTTTTAAAAAGATACAAATCCTAACCCTTGAAGTGAGAAAATAAAGCAAAAGATCTTGAAATAAGACTAAATGGCATTGTCCCATTGGCACATATTGTTACAACGGAATGTGTAAAAAACACTCGATGCAAGCATTTACTACCTCATATTTTATCATTTTTGCAGTGTAGCTTTGAATGCTGTATATTTATAATAAAGAATTGTATTTTCTCATACATTCCATTCAACGTTTGACAGAAAATTCTTTTGACGGGCCAGAGCGCTGTGTGGGCTGCAGCGTGCCAGCCCTCCAGGTCAATGACCAGACCTTGCGGACGAAATGTGAGTCTCACATTTGTCCTGCTTAGCACCCATGAAAAATGAAGAAGGTGACCTGAAGTCTCACCTGGGAGCAGGCTGTTGGGCTGTAGATGACCACGCGCCAGGAGATTTTCAAAAACTGCTAAAGTCACTGAAAAGCGAGGGTTTTATTAGAAAACTAATACATATATTTTGAACATATATACAAATAGATAGATAGTTTTTGTTAATTTTCCTTTGTTGTGTGCTCCTCTTTTCAACTGTTCCGTGGGTAGCGATGCAACACTGAAATTTTCCCACAGAGGAACAGATAAAGGCATCCCCAATATGCAACTCTTTTTTATTCATTATTCCACATATAGGATATACTCTACTTTTGTCACGTTTCAACAGTCTTGCACATTTCCTGTTGTTTGCACATTTCCTGTTGTTTGCACACCAAAGAGCCATTCTATTGATGCCAAATGTACATTTATCTGTGTGATCCATGTGTAATCTCATTTTTAAGTGTTATCTCATGCCATTTTAAAGTAAAGCTAGAATCAGGACATGCTTTCATTCATTTTAGTTTCAAGACAAGATTACTACATATCTCTTTCCTCTTGAAAAAGGCTGTAAGTAAATTACATGAAGTAAAATAAAGAAATTAAAGAATCATAACAAGTCTGGATATTCTTTAAGTTGTAAAGAGTGATCAGAAAATATTGAATGATTCTGTATATTCTTTGAGATTCTTGTGTTTATAAAAAAAAATTTAAAAGAGTCTAAATGAATCCAAGACTAAAACCACAACAGAAAAGAATGAAACATTTTCTGCAAATTATATATAAAAGAAAAAATAAATAAATACAAAATACAAAATAAAGATACATTTAAATTATTCCTGTATAACTTGGAGATCCTTCACATAATATATCCTAATATTGTTCTATTCAGCAAAAAAAAATCTAAATGAAAAAAAAAGCCCTCTATGACCTCACCCACGTGTGTATCATTAAAAAAGCGCTGCATGAAGCCTGACACCTTGTGGATTGCCTGTGTTACTGCATCACTGCTGTGTGTGCGATTGTTACAGAAGACTGAATATTGATCATCAGCACAAAACGACTGTAACAAAACATTTATGACAAAGTATCGCGTATTATCTTCATATAAAGTTTCTGTATGTATCTGTAAAACGTTTTTCACTCATGACACTTCGCACTTGACAAATGATGCCAATGAACATTATGAGTCGAGGGGTCAAAAAGCACGTGGGATTTTTTTTAACTCTAGGACTCCGTGAGCAGTCAATTTTAGTTTAGAAGTGTAGTTATTCAGCGTCTTCCTAAATGTTTGACTTTTTCCAATTCAATTCAATTCAATGTTTTCTTCTACAGCCCTAAATCCATAGACTGTAACCTAAATCACAACAGTAGTCATCTCAGAGGACTTTACAGAACCATTGGCATCGTCAACACAAATCAGAGTTTAACAGTTAAGACACAAAAATATAGAACACATGTATTGGTCCATAGGGAGAGACCAATGTCCATGAATGTTGACAAATATCTATGAATAATGTAGACTGTTAAAGTGTCCTGGAGAGTACTTACATTTAATAAAACAGGTAAAAAATTTAAAGTTTTTTGGGGGATTTTTTAGAATACCATTGTTTTGAATCAGAGCAGTCAAAATGACGACTCTGGGAGTTCTAGTAGTTTCAGAATTATAAGAGTCCAAGCATTAATGAACTGTAAAGAAATGTAACTGTAACAATGTGTCACAATTATTATAGACACGTTAATTTGTTGTAGTAGTTTTCTTTAACATTATGGTTAAAGAAAATGTTGTCACGTGGAGAGAAAAACAAGGAGACCCAAAATGCTAAATGTAGAGTATTGACATCGGTTGCTCTGACATCGTTCTATATGGTCTGAGTCTGTTATGTTGTCTGCCTACGTACCTTGACACTACAGGAAGTGAATGTAACGTTGTTGTTATGCAGTAAAGTCCAAGCCTACAACACGCTGGTATCCCGTGGTCATTTCAGTATCTAACAGTGGCGACGAGGTGGTTGTACAGTGGACCCATGTCTCGGCGATGAGCGATTCTACTGTCTCACAGGAGCAGCATATGGAAACAGACAGTAGTGACTCGGAAGAGAGTGTGCATACACAGCGTGACAAGATGGCGAGAGTTGGATCGATAGACCCGTTTGACAGCACAACGGATGACTGGGTCGAGTATACTGAACGCGTTTCCCAGTATTTTGTGGCAAATGACATAGCAGCGGAGAAACATGTTGCAGTGTTGCTGAGTGCAATGGGGGGAAGATCATACGGCCTGTTGCGGAGCTTGACTGCACCAGATAAGCCATCAGACAAGACTTTTGATGAATTGGTGAAAGTGATGAAAGAACATTTATCGCCAAAGCCGCTACTAATTGCTGAGCGTTTTAGATTCCACAAGCGAAATCAACATGAGGGAGAATCTATTGTTAGTTATGTGGCTGAGCTGAAGAGACTTACTGAGCACTGTGAATTTGCACAGGGACTGGATGATGCGCTGAGAGACCGCTTGGTATGCGGTATTCTGAACGAGGCCATACAGAAGAGACTGCTTACCGAGGATAAGCTCACGTACAAAAGGGCAGTTGAAATCGCAGTCTCAATGGAAACGGCAGCCAGAGATGCCGTTGAACTGCAAACAGGAGTAAAGGCAATAAATGTGAATAAAATGGCAACAGTCCCACAAGAAAGAGAGCATGAACCGTGTTACAGGTGTGGGAGGGGCTTCCATTCCCCTTCACAGTGTAGATTTAGGGATGAAATCTGCAGACTATGTAACAAGACAGGGCACATTCAGAGAGTTTGTCGCTCAGGAAAGTCAAGAGTGAATAAAAGTGAGAGGAAGACGCAGTGGAATGTACACAAGAACAAGAAAGTGTACAATATAGAGGAAACTGCAGGTGAGGAATCGGACGAAAGTGAACATACAAACTGCTTGGATGTGTACCATGCTAAAGGTGGTGGCCGGGAAGCGATCTGGCTCACACCCCAGGTGAATGGAAAACAAGTGAGGATGGAACTGGATACCGGCTCTGCAGTGTCAGTGATGGCGCACAGTGACTTTGTGCAGTACTTTGGAGACCAGAAGCTGAACTCGTCATCTGTCCTCCTAAAGACATATACTGGAGAGAAAATCAAGCCCCTCGGCGTATTGCCGGTGGAGGTACAACACAATGGCCAACAATGCACATTGGACTTGTACATTGTAAAAAGAGGAGGACCAGCACTGTGGGGCCGAGACTGGCTGAGGAAATTACAGCTGGATTGGAAGTCCATTAAAAGCCTGCAGGTGGCGCCAAACACCACCGACAAGTCCACAGAGGTCAAATTGGAGACAGTCTTGGTTGCTGCAACGCCTGTATTCCAAGATGGAATTGGGACATTAAAAAACATAAAGGGCAAAATTGTTCTTCAAGACGGGGCCATTCCACGTTTCCACAAAGCACGGCCAGTTCCGTACGCCATACGACAGAAGGTGGAAGCGGAGCTGGACCGCCTAGAGGCCGACGGAATCCTGTCTAAAGTTGACTGGAGCCCATGGGCCACACCCATTGTCCCAGTAGCAAAGAAGTCAGGGGCAGTGAGGGTGTGTGGGGACTTCAAAATCACAATCAATCCTGTGCTACAAGCAGAACAATATCCACTTCCCAGGATCGAGGACATTTTTGCAAACCTGGCTGGTGGAAAGCGGTTCACCAAGGTGGACCTGGCGGAGGCCTATCTACAGATGGAGATAGAGGAAGACTCGAAGATGTTCCTGACCATCAATACTCTGAAGGGCTTGTACCGCTACAACAGGTTAGTGTTCGGAGTGGCCTCAGCCCCGGCTATCTGGCAGCGTGCTATGGATCAGGTGTTGCAGGGGATTCCAGGTACACAGTGTTACTTAGATGATATAATTGTGACTGGGGCCAACGATAACGAACACCTGGAGAACCTCCATAAGGTCTTACAGAGACTTCAAGATTACGGACTCCGGGCTAGACGTGACAAGTGTGAGTTTTTCAAACCATGTATCACATACTGCGGCCACACCATTGATGCACAGGGTTTGCATAAATGCAAAGAAAAGATCAATGCCGTCATGAAGGCTCCTCAGCCACAGGATGTACAGCAACTGAGATCGTTCCTTGGATTCATCAACTACTACCACCGGTTCATGCCTAACCTGTCTACAGTGCTCCATCCTCTGAACGAACTACTCCAGGCAGACGGGTTGTCTCGGTTGCCACTCGACACCGCAACAGGCACAAAAGGAGACAAAGAATCAGTGGCGATGTTCACGCTCATGCAGATCGAAAGCCTCCCAGTGACAGCGGAGATGATTGAGAGAGAGACCCGGAAAGATGCGACTCTCTCACAAGTGTACAAAGCAACGCAGACAGGCTGGGCAGCTAGTGAAAGGTCTTTCCTCGCTCCATATTTCCAACGCCGGGATGAGCTTGCTATTGACTCTGGGTGCCTTATGTGGGGAATGAGGATCATCATACCCACCAAGGTCAGGTCCAGGGTGCTGGAAGAGTTACACAGTGGTCATCTGGGAGTGGTGAAGATGAAGGCACTCGCCAGGAGCTATGTCTGGTGGCCAGGGATTGACCAACAGATAGAACAGCTCGCAGCACATTGTCCTGGGTGCCAGCGTGTACAGAACGAACCGACAGTGGCACCCCTCCATACATGGGAATGGCCCACATCGCCATGGCAACGGATACACATTGATTTCGCCGGGCCATTCATGAATAAAACATTCCTTGTAGTGGTCGATGCATGTTCAAAGTGGCCAGAAGTGTTCGCCATGAAATCCACGACAACAGCCAACACAATCGACGTGTTGAGAGGTCTCTTTGCTAGAACTGGTATCCCCGAACAGTTGGTGAGTGACAATGGTCCTCAATTCACAGCTAGTGAATTTCAGATGTTTATGAAGCTGAATGGAATCCGCCACATAACATCAGCTCCCTACCATCCGGCTACTAATGGGCTCGCCGAGAGGTTCGTACAAACTCTAAAACAAGGTCTGCGAGCCTTTGCGGATGCACCCATTTCTCTTCAGCAGAAGTTAGCCAACGTCCTGTTTGCCTACCGTAACGCCACTCATGCTACTACTAACCGAACCCCTGCCATACTGTTCCTGGGACGGGGGCTGCGCTCAAGACTGGACCTGCTAAAGCCGAACCTGCGACGGACGGTAATGGATCGTCAGATCAAGCAGGGTAAAGGGACTCACAATAGAGAAACGCGTCAACTGGAAATTGGACAGACTGTGCTTGCCAGGGATTACCGTGGAGAACACAAGTGGATTCCCAGTATAATCAGAGAGAGGCAAGGGCCCTTGTCCTACACCGTAGAAGTAGCTCCGGACACTATCTGGCGACGCCACCTTGATCAACTACGGGGGTCAGAGGTACGCACTGCAGCGGAGATGGTGGATCCTGCTGCTTCATTCATCGCTGCTCAGGGGGACCTGAGCCTGCCAACTGCCAGCGCTACTCCAGAGACCATGAGCCTGCCTAGCTCCACCGCAGGCCAAGACAGCCGGAACCTGCAAAGCTCCGACAGCGACATGGGGTGTCTGCCAAGCCCTGGTCCGCCCCTGACCCCACGCATTGGTCTCCCTAGAGCTGGGGCGAGCCCGGCGGTTACACCTGAGAGACGTTATCCAATGCGTACTCACAGACCTCCCAAGAGACTATCCCTTTAAGTAAACTGCTGTTGCATTAGTATCACTTTAGTTCTATTTTAAGTGGTAAAGGTTATACTGCTTACTGTACTTGTTATCTAGAAAAGGAGGAGTTGTAGAGTATTGACATCGGTTGCTCTGACATCGTTCTATATGGTCTGAGTCTGTTATGTTGTCTGCCTACGTACCTTGACACTACAGGAAGTGAATGTAACGTTGTTGTTATGCAGTAAAGTCCAAGCCTACAACACGCTGGTATCCCGTGGTCATTTCAGTATCTAACACTAAACTGCTAAATAATGGATTTAATAAAGAAATACAAATCAAGATCTAGCTATATACAAATAACCAGAGACAGGTGATGCACATGAGGGCAGGACTGGTTTCAGACAACAGGAAGTACAAAGAAGAAACAGGCGGTATCAAGTCACAAAATAAAACAGGAAATAAACCATGACAAATGTCTCTTCAATACGCTGGTCCCATTGAACAAAACAAAACAAAACATATTCAGAGAGTCTCCTTTAAAGATACACACAGGTTTATATCTGAAGTCTGATAGATTGATGGATTTTATTCATTGGAGCAGAAAATATACCTTCATTAATATTTACATTCCTGAGTTTATGTATACGTTTGTACATTATTGTGTTATATATAAATAAATGTACATACACATATACATATATTGTGCTTTTAACTTAAAAATAAAGAAATAAAGAACGTGTAGACTCCACATGAACTCTAACATGACTGAGTCACTTGATATTCCTTTGTTCAGTTGTGGTTTTTGCTGAGTCTATCCATACTTCCTCTTTACTTTATGTTTTATTGTTATGATCACTGCAAAAGAGTCCAATATGACATCACTACGCAGTTACAGTTTAGGCCCAACTGAATATGAAAACAAAAAATCTGGTTTTTCTTTGGGAAATAATTTCAGAATATAGTTATTATTATTATTTGCTGTGAGCTTATAATGCTGTATGTATTTCTTCACTTCTCGAATGTGACTGTGGCCTCACTTTTCTGTTTTTGACATGACTATAGGAAACCTAACTCCTTGTAAATATTTATTCATAAATTACAATTATTGTGATGACTGACACTGGAATAATTATCAATGTATATGTTTTGAACGTATTTACTATTATAATTATCATCATTATTATCACTAATAGGGAACGTGAGCTGGGTTAGACCGCAGTGAGACAGGTTAGTTTTACCCTATACTGATGATGTGTTGTTGCAATAGTAAACCTATAGATGACTATCCATATAGTTCCTAGTGATAGTCATCCATAGTGACAGCAGGGAAGATGTGAGTGTGTAGCAAATGCAAATGTTCAACTCCTGTCCTGTGAACCTTTCTCTCCAGTGCAACACATTATACAGACTGAATAAAATAGACAGCCCTAAAACACAGATTTACAACTGTGATCTAACATTAAGACATTCTCACCAATGTGAAGACAGCACGTCGTGTAGGAAGAGCACTCTACAAATAAAGGTTGATTGATCATTAGTATGGGTCGTTAATTTCATTATCTAAATTTAAATGTTATATTTAATCTTTAATTCAGACACAAAACAAGGTCCATATAAAAAAAACCTTATTTTTACTTTTATCTTCTACGTTTCTTTCTTTCTACATTTGGAAGCAGCTGCCTTGGAAGTTTTTTTAATAATGCAAATTATACTATACCTTACAACATATTTACACTGAAAGTCAAAGCAAAATAAAAATACTAACTCGAAAAATACAAAATAAACGAAATAAAGACATTATAATGTTAGAAGAATATACATAGTATCAAATTATTAACACCAAAGTCAAAAGCCTTCAAAGTGAAACCGTAAACAACTAAGGTGACGTCTGCCTCAATGACGTGACAAACAAGGAAGTTTGTCATCTTTTTTTTTTTTTCCTTTTTTAAATACACGTCTTTATTATTAATACACACAATACCGCTATACTTACATAATATCTACACACAAGACAAAGTCATACAAAATCTAAAATAAAATAAAAATAAAAAAGGGGCATGATCTGTACACATATTTACAGTCACATATGTACAGTGTTTCCCTCGGTGCTCCTGGTCTCGTGGGTCCGCCCTCGTCAGGTGAAGATCGAGTCCAAATAAGGGTGGACCATATGGTATGACGGAATGATCGCGTCTCTGGAGAAAAACACATTTATCTGCTTCGTTCATCTGCGCCTTCAGTCTCAGCAGGAACTTAACACACATTAGTTTGTTTTCTCTTGCGGAAAGGTTCAGGAGCTGTGTCTGTGAAGGTGAGTTCAATGGACTCTTCTTCGTTCGTACATTACCTGAGCATTTAGTTAAACCAAAATTATTGCATTAAATAACTTCTTACTTACTTATTACGTACGTAGTGCACTTGTATATAGTAGTTACCTGAAGAAATGTGATGAAGATGTTTGTATGCGCTCTGTAGGGCTTACAAACATAACAATTATACAATTCAAAAACAAAACGTTGAAGTAGAAATAGTAATAATGACAAGATCCTAGTGCAACGTGCCTTGAATATGTGACTATTTATGGTAACGAGTCGATTATAAATAATGTCTGATGGATTGAATAAAAACATTTGTAATTCTTACACTTATACACACATGATTCTGATTTTTCCTACTACTTTTCATGCAATTTTTTGCTGCTAACATGTACAGATTTATACATACAACCAAATAGACAGAGATTTTATACTTCTTTATCATACTAAGGAGAGATTTGTTTTATTTTAGTGTAGTCACTGCACATTTATCTTATGCTGAAATATGCCTTAGAGATTTTATACTTAATTTTCTTCATTATGCTAAAGCTAGAGCTTTTATTTCATTGTATTAAAGAATAGAGTTATTGCATCTTGTGCTGTTTGCTCTTCATTCCTACTGTTCTGTAGCTGGTGATACTCCTTCTTGTTACTTTTTCTTAGCAGCTCTTTGATCATGGATCCAGAAGGAAACGAGAAACAGAGCAGCCAGCTGATCCTGGTGCCCCACAAAGACACCATCCGCCTCCTGGAGGTTTATGTGAAGCGGAGCCTGAGTCTAAACGATGGCGGCCTGGAGAGTAAAAGATCCCAGAGGAAGGCCAAGTGGGTGACCATGCCCAAGAAGCAGAGGCGACACTCCAGCGACCCCTCCCTGCACCTTAGTGGAAGAGTAGTCGATGAAGAAGTATCCACTTTTACTGCGGACAGTAAAAGTGGGACAGTTCCAAAAGAGAAAGACAAGACTACTAGAAAGTCAAAAAAGCTGAAAAAATCCCTATGGAAGAGCTTTCTGGGAATATTCTCTCGGAAAGACTCAGAGGAGAGAGATGACGAGAATCAGAATCTGCCAGAAGTTCAGCTAAGTATCCGGAACGATGAGGAGCGTGAGGCAATTCCCACCTGCCTGCCCTCTCCAGCTGCCAGTTTGAGGAGGAGAAAGTCCAAAAGAGAATCTAGGAAAAAGCGTTTTTCCAGGAGACGGTCACTGCGGAAATCTAATAAATTCGAAGACGTCACTCCTGTTGACATCTCAGTAGAAGGTTAGTGTTATAGCTATAATTGCAGTCATGAAAAAATGTTGTAAATTTACTCATGTGGGTTTGTTATGCAGCGGTTACAAGTGTGGAACCAACATATTCTTACTATGAAAAAGTCTCAGAGGAACTTGAGAAAATTGTGCATGAGGTAAAAGTAAATGAGGAAGCAAAGCCACTCACAGATGGTAAGTGAACGAGGATTGTGATCATATATTTGCTCAGGTGTCTGCGTCAGTTTGTGATAAGCATTTTACTTTTGGTTTCAGCTGAGGTAATCAACAGAATCATTGCTCTGACAAAAGAAGAGGGAGATGCTATTGACGATAAGGTGGGATTTAAAGGATAGATTCTTTGATATCCTGTAGGAGGAATGTACTGCAGTAACATTTACAGCTAGAAAAAAGCAAGAAAAGCGCTACTTAGGACTTGCTACTGTTCAGTGCATTCAATAAAATGAATAATGTGTAGATTATTACAACATGTGAATGAGCTTGCCTAATACCCAATTGTGCTGTTTGTAGTCTCTATGAAAAGGCATGAAATCAGGAAAACAAATACAGTGCCTTGCGAAAGTATTCGGCCCCCATTGAACCTTTCGCCACATTTCAAGCTTCAAACATAAAGATATAAAAAATATTTTTTTTGTCAAGAATCAACAACAAGTGGGACACAATCGTGAAGTGGAAAGAAATGTATTGGATGATTTAAACTTTTTTAACAAATAAACTGAAAAGTGGGGCGTGCAATATTATTCGGCCCCCTTGCGCTAATACTTTGTAGCGCCACCTTTTGCTGCAATTACAGCTGCAAGTCGCTTGGGGTATGTCTCTATCAGTTTTGCACATCGAGAGACTGGAATTCTTGCCCATTCTTCCTTGCAAAACAGCTCGAGCTCAGTGAGGTTGGATGGAGAGCGTTTGTGAACAGCAGTCTTCAGCTCTTTCCACAGATTCTCGATTGGATTCAGGTCTGGACTTTGACTTGGCCATTCTAACACCTGGATACGTCTATTTGTGAACCATTCCATTGTAGATTTGGCTTTATGTTTTGGATCATTGTCCTGTTGGAAGATAAATCTCCGTCCCAGTCTCAGGTCTTTTGCAGACTCCAACAGGTTTTCTTCCAGAATGGTCCTGTATTTGGCTCCATCCATCTTCCCATCAATTTTAGCCTTCTTCCCTGTCCCTGCTGAAGAAAAGCAGGCCCAAACCATGATGCTGCCACCACCATGTTTGACAGTGGGGATGGTGTGTTCAGGGTCATGAGCTGTGTTGCTTTTACGCCAAACATATCGTTTTGCATTGTGGCCAAAAAGTTCGATTTTGGTTTCATCTGACCAGAGCACCTTCTTCCACATGTTTGGTGTGTCTCCCAGGTGGCTTGTGGCAAACTTTAAACGACTTTTTATGGATATCTTTGAGAAATGGCTTTCTTCTTCCATAAAGGCCAGATTTGTGCAGTGCACGACTGATTGTTGTCCTATGGACAGACTCTCCCACCTCAGCTGTAGTTATCTGCAGTTCATCCAGAGTGATCATGGGCCTCTTGGCTGCATTTCTGATCAGTCTTCTCCTTGTTTGAGATGAAAGTTTGGAGGGACGGCCGGGTCTTGGTAGATTTGCAGTGGTCTGATACTCCTTCCATTTCAATATAATTGCTTGCACAGTGCTCCTTGAGATGTTTAAAGCTTGGGAAATCTTTTTGTATCCAAATCCAAATTAAACTTCTCCACAACAGTATCTAGGACCTGCCTGGTGTGTTCCTTTGTCTTCTCTCTGCTCTTTAAACAGAACCCTGAGACTATCAAAGAGCAGGTGCATTTATACGGAGACTTGATTACACACAGGTGCATTCTATTTATCATCATCAGTCATTTAGGACAACATTGGATCATTCAAAGATCCTCACTGAACTTCTGGAGTGAGTTTGCTGCACTGAAAGTAAAGGGGCCGAATAATATTGCACGCCCCACTTTTCAGTTTTTTATTTGTTAAAAAAGTTTAAATTATCCAATACATTTCGTTCCACTTCACAATTGTGTCCCACTTGTTGATTCATGACAAAACATATTTTTTTTTATATCTTTATGTTTGAAGCCTGAAATGTGGCGAAATGTTGAAAGGTTCAAGGGGGCCGAATACTTGTATATGCAAAGGATTTGCTGTGAAAAAAATGAGGTAATAATTGCTTACATCGAGTGGTTAATTTGAATTTATTCTGACCATCTTCAAAAAAAACATTGACTTATTTCAAGAACTGTTTCTCATTTCTTGTAACTTTTTAAAACAAAATTTTGCTTTTCCTATTGCAAAATTGTTTAAAAACAGTCCAAAATACATTTTGCCAAATTAGAGCAATTTGACTTTTTTCCATCACTTTTTGCAGTGTGTTACTACAGCTTTGAAGGTATGAATAAATGACAATTTTGCTTTCATTTTGTTTCTAGATCAAAGATAATCCCACATTGTGCAACTTCTTCCAGAAGATGCCATATTCATCTTTTCAGAAGTTAGCTGATGAATACATAGAAAACGAGGCAGCTCCGGACAAGAACCCACCCACAATTCCACCAACTGCTCCTGAACTGGTCAAACTCGCCTTCGCGCTGGACTTCACGGCCAGAATCGCTGGACTCTCCAGACAGAACATGGGCCACATTACTGGCCTTGGAAATAGATATCTGCAAGAGATCTTTGAATACAACCAGGTGAGAGGAAAAGCGTCAGATAAGCATTTGTTTTGAGTTTTATTAAATCCTTGTTTTACTCAGGCCTGTTCAGATCATCCATGGTCCGACTGCGATGACTGAGACACAAGACACCAGTGAAAAGTGGAACATTGGCTTTTGAATGGGACTTTGCGTGAAGGAGTTCACAGAAACCAGTCAGGCGACTTTTGATGTAACTTCCAGCGCGGAGCCACTGTCGTCAGCACAATCGCTGCAGTTGCTGGAACTAATGCAGAGTTGTTCACCTGTAATCTTATCAAGAGAGCACTACAGAAGTTAATCATTAGGGTTTATAAGTGCAATAGTTCTTTAGGTTTACAAATGAGGGATTGAAAAAAACATTACAATTCATGAATGCTGGCATTCATTTACAATTCTGAAAGTTTTCTGTTGTTTTTCCCGTAATCTCTGAACAGACAAGACTTCTGGTTTTCAACTGTTTTGAATGTTCGTTGCATTAGCAATGTCTCATAAACATCTGAAATCTGAGAAGTCCTATGTCTGATTCTTGTTTTCCCACATGACTCACCTCCATGTGATCCAATACCTTTAGCACCCGTAAATCTCCCCTTTGTGCCATCTCGATGACCCAAAACTTTTGTACATGCAACAATGTCATTGAGTGAATAGAATGATTTTCTAGCTCCATGTTCTAGAGCCAAACGTTTATATATTTGAAGGAAAATCTGACTTAATTGCAAACTTCTGAAACATTCATTACTTGCCTGTCACCCTGAAGGGGATTAGTTTGTGATGCAATTTTATTTTTTCCTCAAAGTTAGCAACAACATTGAGTTCATAGGAAAAGCCACAGTACGGAAAGTCATTGTTTAACATTTTTATTGCTTTTCTAAGAAGATTAATCAAAGAGTCCAAATCCCATATCTTCATCGGACTCCTCAGATTCCTCTTTCTTCTCTTCCTTTTTCTCTTCCGCTGAAATGTTAAAGATAGAGTTAATACTTAGGAGTCAAGAGAATCTTTATGGTCATTCAATCTGCACACACCAGCAGCAGGTGCAGCCCCAGCTCCAGCGGCTCCAGCAGCAGCAGCCGGAGCCGCTACAGCACCACCTGCTGGTACAGAGGCCAACTTGGAGAGGCCTGAAACGACACATGCCATCAGCACTGTTGGGCCACAAAGTGTCAGAGTTAGAGATTCATTTAGAGCCCTTTACCAGAATTCATGACTTCACTGATGTCCTTTCCATTCAACTCTGCCACGACCTGAACAAAATAATTCAAGTTACATTTGAAAACACTGAAGGGGATAGTAACGTACAAATGTGTGGAAGTTGATACCTTATTAACACTAGAACTCCCAGAGCAGTCAATTCGATAGTAATTATTTTTGAAAGCATATGTGTTTGCTTTTAGGGTGACATCAAATAAACTAATATATAAATCAACAATTCAGCTCATGTACATTCCTAGTTCTCAAAACTTGACTTTTTCTGTATCTGGTTGTTGCATTATTAACAAATATATAATATAATTATATTTGTTAATAATGCAATAACATGCACAACCTACAGCCCGATTAATGTGGGCCTCGGCCCAGATCCCGATTAGATCCGGGCTTTAGGTGCTATGCCACTGCGGTAACTGGGCTTGGGCACGATTGTGAGAGGTGGGTCTGAGCATGGTTGCAAAGCCCAGATGAGGGGGGTCAATGTGGAGACTGTGGTATGAGGTGTGGTGGGGCGCAGGAGAGATATTTGGCTTCAGGGCCAAAGCGATGAGTTTTCTTGCGGGGATAACTCCCTTCTTTTCTGACCCTCGATGTCAGTGTGGCGCTACTGCAATAACACTTCAGACGCTCAAGAATCAGACTTTATATCGCCAGAACACATCAACGTACACTTGAATCCTGCCTGGTTCCATACTCGTACGCCTTACTTTATTCTTGATAATTTCATTCCTCAGCGCTTACTCTTCACTCCAAGGCGTGCTCCTGTGTCCCACACAAAAACTGATTGCAAAGAACGCGAACCATGCTGGAGCTGTTGGCCACAATAGTCACAATAGGAGGAGAAACAGAAACTTAACTCTGATCCCGAGGTAGTCGCTGAAGTTAGTATTAGCACCACCAGCTGGATCGAGCGTTGTACCGCTTTTAGGCTGGCACGGTTGAAGAAATAAACTTTTGTGGCCGCGGGCCGTCTTCACACCCCTATGTGACCCTGCCCTTTGTGTAGTTTATTTCAAACTGTCGGCTGAACATCGGTATTGGCCAATGTTTGCCTTGTAAACTACCATTAAAAAAAGTTACATTCGCGGATGGTAGGCATGTGCGAAGAGATGCCCATAGAGGGCATCTGCGTACTTTTCTGGAAGAAACAAAGATGTAACAAAAATATCAGCGATCACTAAGCCCGTCATGGTGCGAGAAGCGCATTCTTGAAATTCAGCACAGTGCAATAAAATTAGGCACCATGTACTCTCTACATACTCACCAACCCCCCAGATATCACCTCGCCCTGTCCCCTCTATAAACAACACGGTAGCATCATCCATGGCTCACCTGCTGCGCTCAGGGTGCACAGCAGGTTCGCGTGCCTTTTCAAACGGTTTATTCTGCATACGTAGTACTAGGTTACCAGTCAAATCGAGCGCATCTTTAGCTAAGCCACAAATATCATATCGTGTGCACGCTTGCATTGTTCCATGTGATTAATTTTTGAATTGTTGCTGTGAGATTTCAAAAAGGGGGGGGCAGCTAGGATATCATTTAACACAACAATGGATATTGGATATTTGAGAAGCAAGCATGAGGCGGTGTGCAGCAATTGTATGCAAGCTGAACAGAAAATATTGGGGGCATCAGTTTTAATATTATAATTCCTTCCTAATTGTGGGAGTCCAAGTGCTAAGAATGTATTGTAATGCCTTATTGAGAGTGTATATTACCTTATTGAGGCGGTCATCATCTGCCTCTATACCCACGCTGCCCAGGATAGCCTTGATGTCCTTAGCTGAGGGGCTGGTGTTTCCACCGAGAGCAGCAAGAAGGTAAGCGGCCACGTAACGCATTCTGTAAAGTCAACCGTGAGAGCAAACAATAACCAATAGTTAATTTAATAACACATAAACAACCCACGATTAAACACGAGAAGCTAAAAGAAGAAACAAAGTGGCATGGCACTCCACCATGTCGTACCCATAGATCTATTTTAATATCAGGTCAGACCTCCATTTTTTATCCAACATAGCTCCACATAAAACACCAACGACGGCTGAAGGCAGATCTTATTTTGAGATATTCATTGGATTGAGCAATACACTTAACCACATACCTGGGAGTTTTAATCTATAATTGTATGTTATTGACTTACTTTAAGTCTGTGCAGACACGAAACGTTGGTCACGCTAGAAATCCGGAAGTAGAAGAAAGAAATCTGAGCCGGAAGAAGAAGAAGTGTCACTCCCGTATTCGTCCCGGAAACCGGATTCGTCCGGAAGTTCAGTTTGATCCAATGAGCATACGCAGCAGTAGATTACGTCACGGAATAAAAAACTACCTATTCGTGCCTAAACTTAACCAGCCATTCCCATAAAATAACCCCAACCCAGCCTTAACCCTAAACTTAACCATCTTAATCAGACGCCTAAACTTAACCAGTCACCACTTAAGGACATATAAAACTTTTTGACATGCGCGAATAGAACTTCCGGACGAATCCGGTTTCCGGGACGAATACGGGAGTGACAAGAAGCACATGAAGCACATACACGCGCGTATTTTTCCCAATGCAAAATATCAGGCGTGTTATTGTATACTTTTCCTAAAGTAACCACCTTAAGCAAATCAATCTTTAATTAAATAAAATCATGTAGTAAATGCAATTGAAATAACTAAACACAATGTTATATTAAAATGTATTAATATATTTTCATTGTTTTACTGTGTTGGGGTAAAAACGACGACACCAGGGCTACATCGTAGGCCACATCCAAAATCAGAAAAAATATATTCCTACCTTAATCTATGCTTTGATCAAACCCGTCCTTGAATGTTTTTAATGTGGGTTAAAATTGTGATACATGAGTTGGAAGGGCAAGAGATCAAGTTGTTTTTGCTGCTAAGGCAGCTTTCTTCGCACGTCTGATCATTTTCAAATCACGAGCGACTAGGCAATAGAGGGATCCTACGGTCACGTGACTAGCAGCCACGGCAGCCATACTGGAGGACAACCTCGGCGAGTAACAGCCCTGCTAGCTATCTATAACTGGACGTTCAAAACTAGAACTCTCTCGAACTACATGAAAACTGAACATAGAATTTGAAACTTCAGCAGTTAGTGACCCAAATATATACTCAACCTAAATTCATGAATCAGATCCTCTGAAAATGCGTCCTAAAATGTATTATTAATGTTTATCGTTACATCCAGGTTTACCACGGTCGCATATTGTCGCATTAAAACAGTGTTTTTTCATGAAAACGTGAACAGAAAATTCTGAAAACCTCTGTGCACGTGTATTAAGAATGTATATGTATAATGTATTCTCCGATTAACATTTAATGTGTTTATTGTTACACCTGGATCTATGTGTGGCTACACTGCAGTGGAAATAATGAGATTACATTCAAATCAATGGAGCTTTCTGCGTCTACTGTGAGGAGCCGTATATTTTATTAAAGGTATATAGGAGGATTTTCCCAATTTTTAGGAAAGTTCCGCCTTCTCCACTTTTTGAACGAAACTCTCTGGTCTTATTGGACGAGGCCGTATCAGCAGAATGATTGACAGTTGGGAGGACCAATAGTCTTGACGATCCACCCGGAAGTAGAAAATCCTCCTATATACCTTTAATAAATACTAGTACGGGGCACCCTGGAGCACGGCTCAGTCGTTCACATGTCTGCTGGCCTTTGGTAAGTCAGATACCCTGTGAACCGGGTGAGGTCCTGTGTGAGACCAAATATATAACAGCTATGCGACAAGCTAAGCTACAGTCTATGGAGCAACCCCACGTTGCAGTCAGACAGATATGTGTTATCCTTAAACTTCTGTTTGTTTCGGAATAACACCAAATCCGCCATCAAATTGATTTCACTTAGCAGAGATGAAATGATCCGAGCATATTCGGGCGCTCTGGGGGCTATTAGTTTTTTGTTGTTGCGTATGGTTGTGCCATTTCTCTCTCGTTTCTATGAGATGTCTTCTGTTTTTGAGCCGTGTGAAGTAAGGACGGCTGGCAGTCGGTAACACAGCTTATTTTCCCTGTCTCTCTTTTTGCTGCAGCCAAAAACGGCAAAAAATGTGAACATGTTAATGCGGTCCCGGGTGCACGCCACTATCATACAGCGTTTGCTTGTCCTCCAGTATGGCGGATGCCCCGCGAGGTCGAGGCATCGTGACGTCACGTGAGATATCTCTATACTGTACATTTTAGGAGCCCTCAATCTCGAATGCTACTAAACTTCTATCAACAAACATCTAAGTGTATGCCCTGGTTTTTGTTTTATTTAGACTTTTGTGTATTTGTAATATATATATATATATATACATATACATACATATATATATATATATATATATATATATATATATATATATATATATATATACATATATATATATATATAAAAAAAAAAAATTGTCCACTCACCTTTGGCCCTCCGCGGGCGGTTATGCCTCTCTAAGCTCGGGTCCTCTACCAGAGGCCAGGGAGCTTGAGGGTTCTGCGCAGTATCTTTGCTGTTCCTAGCACTGCACATTTCTGGACCGAGATGTCCGAGGTTGTTCCGGGGATCCGCTGTAACCACTCATCTAGCTTCAGGGTCACTGCCCCGAGTGCACCGATCACCACGGGCACTACTGTCACCTTTACCCTCCAGGCCCTCTCCAGCTCCTCTCTGAGACCTTGGTATTTCTCAAGCTTTTCATGTTCTTTTTTCCGGATGTTACCATCTCTTGGAATTGCCACGTCCACCACCACGGCTGTCCGCTGCCCTTTGTCTACCACCACGATGTCAGGTTGGTTTGCCATTACCATTCGGTCGGTCTGTATCTGGAAGTCCCACAGGATCTTCGCACGCTCATTTTCCACCACCTTTGGAGGAGTTTCCCACTTAGACCTTGGGGTTTCCAGCCCATACTCTCCACAGATGTTTCTGTACACTATGCCAGCCACTTGGTTATGGCGTTCCATGTAGGCCTTCCCTGCCAGCATCTTGCACCCTGCAGTTATGTGTTGGATCGTCTCAGGTGCCTCTTTGCACAACCGACACCTTGGGTCTTGTCTGGTGTGGTATATCTGGGCCTCTATCGCTCTGGTGCTCAGGGCCTGCTCCTGTGCAGCCATGATGAGTGCCTCTGTGCTGTCCTGTAGGCCAGCCCTTTCTAGCCATTGGTAGGACTTCTTGAGATCAGCCACTTCTGTTATGATATATATATATACATATACATATATATATATATATATATATATATATAAGTGTCTTCCTATGCGGCGGGTTTGCTACAATTCCGTTCCAGAATACTGAATTCATGACCTAAAATGAATTTGTATACTGTATACTTAGAATACTTGTAATTATATTTTAATTGTTATTTCTTTGTTATTTATTTTCTTTACCTTTATCTTTTATTTAAATTTAAACAATATTTAAATATTGTGGGCGACAGTGGCTCAGTTGGTAGAGCATTGGCCTTATGGTGCTTTCAGACCGGATCATGCGTTGCGTCGGCTTTCAATGCAAAGTCTATGGTGACGAGCGTTCGAGCGTCACAACGCACGGACCTCTCGGCACGCACGCACGGACCTGTTCAGTAGAAACGCACGGACTTGGTGGGAAAGTCAAAGGGGAAGAGCAGGAGCGAAAAATCGACGCCCACAGGAGATGGATTCTGCTCATGCTTTCCTTGGGACGTTTGTGCAGCGACCAATCAGAGAGCCGCAAAGTGGTCACGGGGACATTAGCGGACTGAGCGAGCAGACTGAAAATACTCAAACAGCCAAAACAGGACCCACACCAGGCTTCACCAGAACTCAAACCAGGGTTGACAATGGGGGACTGTGTGCTTGTGAATATATGCCTTGCCTTTCCTTGCCTATGCAACTGCTTCGAGTGTGTTCGCCGATATACCGGAAATACCGTTTAATAAAACAAAAAACGTATGACGTACCTCCGTGAACACATGCATAAAGCCCGTGGAAGGTCTCTGAACAAAGACACGCTGCAAAGCTGCATATTGGAGAAGATCTGTACACAAGAAGCCGCTTACTAAACTCTGTTAGCATCATAGCCTGCCGGCTACTTCCGGCACTTCCGGTGCGCGTGAGGACATCTCGGTCTGAAGACCCCTGCGTCTGAAAACTAGAGAATGCGCGTCTGGTGAGCGGGGCTTCAGCGTTTCAGCGTTGGCGGTCTGAAAGCACCATTAGAGCCTGAAGGCCGTGGATACACGCCCACCATAAGACCTACTTCACTACTCCCACTTATGACGGCTGCCGTTGATTCCTTGGGCAAGACACTTAATCCCACTTTGCCTGAAGCGCCTGCAGAATAATCAAAGCTCCTGTGGACTCACCACCTGCAGGAGGAACAGTGAGGGGCATGGTGCTCTGTTTACTGGGTGCAGCTCTGACTGCCACCTCCCAGACCCAGAAATGGATTAGGAGGAAGAAAATGGATGGATGTTCAATCATCTGTGCTTCAACAACCGCCATTAAACAACCATAAAAAACAGAATCATAACTTTAAAAATATGCAAAAAAAAAAATCAGGTAATAAGTGTATTCTAAAGACTAGACTTTAAAGTTAGTTTTTGTAGTTGTAACTGTAAAGGAGTATACAGTAGTTACACAGAGTATTCTGAATATGTAATGGGATTACATGTATTCCGTTACTCCCCAACACTGTCCATGGATGGAGGTTCTATTTGGTTCACGACTGTCAATAACAATAAAGCATTATGAAAAAAGTAATCGTATCATAAATAGTTATAGATCCATGTAATGTCTCCACAGCCCATAAGATGAGTATGGCTGGGCAGCGTTGTTACAAAGAACAGATTAAACTTAAATGAAACGTTAATTTTAACATTGTTCAAAAGTTATTTTATTCCTGTAATTCAACTTAAACTGTAAAATCAATTTATGGCATAGACTCCTTTCACGCAACGTGGCATATACTTAGCATTTTTTGTTACAATTTTAGGGATTTGGCTTCAGTCCTCTCTCTGGTGTTTTAATACGGGAGTTGGAAGCCAATTATCAACATCAACAAGTAAAGGAATCTCACTTTGCGTGTAATGTGCCTGTCATATGTTTGTTTCACATTGTACATTGAATTACAGTTTTTAATTAATATTTAATACTTTTTAAATACTATTTTCATTTAATATTAAGATAAAGAGATCTTGTATTTGTCTCACAGTGGGGAAATGTCAGTGTTGCATCACCAGTTACAGAACAGCGAGAAGGTTCTAACTAAAATAAAACTTTAGCATAGTAAAGAAACAAGTATAACATTTCTAGAAGCAAGTCCAAAATCTCCAACTTTAGCATAATATAAAGTACTCAATATTCTTTTCAGGTATTCTTGGATATTATTCTTGGCTAAATCATTTTAACTTCCCTTTGATGCTCTATTATTATTATTAGAGTTTGTATGGTCGCATCATAGAACCAAATAAGATGTCCCACTTGTATTTGTATGAAGTAAACAAATTAGACCTGCAGCAAGAACACACTGAATTCCATTTTGTAAACATTTTGTATTTATTTGATCATTTTACTGAACCTGAATATAGTCCTGGGGCGGGAAATACATTTCTGGGGCATTCCTACATTATTATTCTTGGTCTCACAGCTCTATTAGATTCTCTTGCTTCTCCTGTTTGAAAAGCCATTCAGACACCAATGCCAGAGAGTCTAAAACAAACTCTGCAATCTTATTCACATTTGTCACATACCACATTTTATAAGCAAATTCACACAAGATGACCAATACAAAGGCAATGAAGAACCCCAGGAACATCCGGTCCAGGTAAAAATTGGTTCTCTCCTTTGATGTCCACTGCTCCCATGGAAGTGATTGGCGCATTTCTCTGTATTTACTAAAATGTAGCAAGGCCCTCTGCTCGTCATCCATGTTGTCTTCTGGATCCTCCATGTCCACGATGCCCGCAGCTTCATCAGCTTCAGCCATTTGTGTTTCTGCGATTCTCAAACTGAAATTCTTCCTGCAAATGGTTCAGAATCAGAGAGCTATCGTAGGTCTTAAGAAACTGCTGTATGCGAACAAGAGATTAATGTCAGTTTTACCTTTGGAAAATGCCAAACCGCTCTTTGGATAGAAGTCTTTGTCCTTTTCCTTTATCTGTCAGTACAGCTTTTCTCTGTAGTGGTGAATGATAACTACCTCGCTAAGTCACAGGCAAAGGATTAGTTCGACATTGCTTAGCCCATGAAATCCTTTATACGGATATAGGTGACAGATGGTTGAACAGTATGCACTGACGTGTTGGCAAGGACGACTCCAAGTGGTGAAGGGAGCAGTGTTAAACAGTCTATCAAATGTCCTTGTTGATAAAGACAGATTTACTGTACATTTCTGATGACATTGTGTGTTGGTAATCCAACCAAAGAAACAGCGCCTGCAGAGGGAGAGAGGTGATGACGCAGCAGTTCTGTTAATAGCCTCTTTAGTGAAGTTGAAATAAATGGCTTCAGCCTCGTCAGTCCTGCATTCTTCCCGTACTTCCTCTGACATGTTAATTAAATATCTGACATGTACCACGCCCCATTTTCATTTAGATTGTTCCCCACAGAGACAGTAGTAATGTAAAAGTACTGATCCTTCAAACCCTCCATAACCTGCTTCTCCATCCCTCACAGACCCCTCCACCATCACTATCACATCCTCAGATCCACAGACTCCAACCTCCTCACTAAACTCAGGACTGAACCTTGGGGGGACTGAGCCTTCACCGCAGCTGCCCTTACTCTCTGGAACACACTCACCACAGAACTTTAAATCAAATGTTTATGTTTTGTAAAGCATCTTTGAAAGTCCAAAAAGCTCTATATAAGTTTGATGTATTACTATTATTATTATTTTTTTATCTTAAAGCATTGCACAGCCCTTTAAAGTCATAAAATGTAATTGCCACAGTTCCCAGTGGACTGTTTCTGCTAAATTACTGTTAATACATACTCTTATCAGTGTGTTTATCTTGTGTAAGTTCCTTCCCCTCTTGCCCTGTTACAAGTTGACTGTGGTTTTCTCTGAGATGGCGTGTGTGCTGGTCACAGACTGTGTGGGTTGTGTGCGTTTGCATAGCATGCATCGTCTAGCGATTTGAATTAATGTAACTCGGAAGCGCTTTATTCTAAAGGCATAAATCATGGGATTGACTGCTGAGTTCACATGTGACATAAAAATGCCAACGTTCGTGGCGACTGGTGGGATTTTGCAGTCTTTGCAAAAGAAGTGGATGCAGTTCATGATATGAATTGGCATCCAGCATAGGATGAAGAGGAAGACCACCAGAGCCAGAGACTTCGCCAGCCTCAGCTCTTTCTGGTAGTATCTCTCTGCGTCACAGGTTGCTTCAGCGCGACTGTTGAGCTGCCGTCTTATCACTCGGAAGATCTCCACATACAAACATATCATAGTGGCCAGCGGGACCACCACCCAACCAAAGAAGTTGAAGTAAACCATATAGTCCATACTCATGACACCCGTAAACGTGCAGGGAATGTTGTTTTCGTGACTATGGGATCCGTGGTTATTCCAGCCTGTCATCGGCACCATTCCTGTCAGAAAGGAGAGCACCCAGCACAGGCCCACGGCGGCCCACGCTCTCTCCTGGGTCACAACGGAGCTGTACCTTTGCAGATAAAAACAACCAACACAGAACATGAGACTCATTCAGATATGAACAAATGCCAAAACCTAGGTGGTTTGTAAGTGTTTTTTATCTAGATCTATTCAGCAGAGTGCAGGAAGTGGCTGACAGAGGCCATTCACTTCTACTCCAGTTATTTAAGCAGACAGAGTCGTTTTAATTTTGTTAAAAGCTTTTGATGCCCAGAACATTGATTTGCATTAAACTTGGCCACAATATACTGCACCTAAGCACCGTCATGATCTGCCAGTTTTCTTGGCCATCTGCTTTTTTGCTCATAATTCTGGAAGCAGTGTGTATGATGTTTGATGTTTTATTTATTTTTCGCATCTGCACAAATTTAAATAACCATGTAATCATCACTTTGGGACTCTACTTAATACAGTCCTATCAATAAGACAATTGCAAGTATTTCCAATCATATATTCTAGCCATTCTTGGACTAAATCTTCATGGTTATTTGATTAGTACATGACACATACTTGGTGGGAATCTTTACTCGTAGATATCGATCGATGGCGATGGCCAGAAGAGACAAGATGGAGCTCTGGGTGATGATGAGGAGCAAACAGGAGAGGAAGAGGCACGTGTAGAACTGGGTCTTCAGTCCCAGGCTGATGATGATGGCCAGGGGGATGACCAGAAGCCCCACGGCGATGTCAGCCACAGCCAGAGACACAATGAGGAAGAAAGTGGTGTTTCGAAGCGTCCTGTTCACATAAACCGCCAACACCACCAGGACGTTCCCCAGCACCGACACGAGGGCGATGGCCGTCTCTATGGAGATGTAGGCCACGTCCATTGGCTCTTCAGGCTTGATGCCGGGTGAGGATGTCATTCTTACCTCAATGCTGAAAGCAAAACAAATATCCGGTTGAAGTCAGATATACCTCTTTGATAGTATTTCCTGAAGGATACAACTTGTTGCTACATTTTTGCTTTTCTCCTCAAGCATCTTAATCAGAGTGGTCCCAGTGCACCAATCTTCAGCTTCCGTTTGCTCTGTCTCTCTCTCTCTCTTTCTACTTTATGGAGCTATGAAAATGGAGGGGAGGGACTTTGCTTTCTGCTGCAACCCGTTATACTTTGGCTCATCGTTTATGGTTTGGAGAGGAACTTTCGATAATTACTAACCACACACTTTTCATCATTATATCAGGAAATGGTTGCACTCAGTTTCCAAACTTGGATGAAAAACTGGAATCAGATGAGGACTATGAGGCAACAGTGGCATGTTGATGTGTTTGGTTTTGTGTGTGTGTTGACTCTTTAACAGACCTGGGTCACAAATGGCCAAATTCACATTTCCATGTGGTCCTCGGATCTTATCCCATCCGCTTTCTGTACACGGTCTCCCCCATTTAAATGAATAGGAATCACTAAATGAATGTTTGTATCACTCGGACCAATTACAATGTGTAACAAATATATCACAGATCATCACACATAGAGTGACTCATATGAGTTATAATGGAGATAAATAGCTTTTAAAAACCCCAAATAGAAAATCTCTAGAATATTTTGAACATAGACTGTAAGCTATTATCATTAAAATAACAAACAATGGCTTGGAACATGACACTTACTGAGTGCATGGAGTCTATATCAGTTTCACAATGAATAACAGAATATCAATTTAAACATTATCTCCTGTATAATGCTTGTCATGTATTTAGTTTCTGACGTCTATTTCTAAATCGGTCATTCTACTGAAGGTGTTCTATGTGAAAGTGCTGTAGACAGGTCATGTAAATGTCATGATGTTGCTTCACACTAATACACTAATCACAACAAAAATCAGGAATGTTGTTCAAATCAATTCAATTAAATGTATTCTTGTATAGCCCTCAATCACAACAGTAGTTATCTCGGTGAACTTTAGAAAAACCATTGGATTCGCCAACACAGATCAAATAATCAAACAGTTCAAACACTAGATATGCAATGATAAGAAATTAGATCAGAGTCATTGGTCCATAAGGGGCAGATGACCAATGTCCATAAATGTTGAATGTCCTGGATCTTCATCCAACTGTCCCTCCTGCAATGGCAAGGAACAACTCTAAAACCTAATGGGAAAAGGTGAGAAACCTTGGTGAGGCTTCCATTGATCTGCTCACATGGATGGCAGACTGTTGATCCAGGACGCAGGCTGTAGAATGAGGACCAAGGCAGCTCACAGGTGGGGAGAGGGTGCAGCCCATGAGTCCGGGCAGGACAGTCCACAGGTGCAAATGGAGGCCAGGTTCAGGGGTCACATTATCACGCCATGAAACGATGGGACAGCGGGCTAACAGCAAGTTACCATACTTCTACCATACAAAGTGACTTCTTTGTTGTGCTGTTGATTCCAGTGCACGCAGCAGCATGGGTATTCCCCATGTTACACACACGAACAGTATGTCGACAGTATGACCTTTAACTTGTAGCTTTCTTTCAAATGGCGTCACATATGGGTTCAAGCATTTCATTGTCAACAAACAACCTGCCCAGTATCCTTCATCATTTGTGCTACTTCTTTTCTCTATTTAATGTTTTTTTCTTTTTTTCTTTTTTTTTTTCAAAAATATGGCTTGTTGGCGTTATGTAAAAGGCAGATCCTTCTAGTTGAAATTTACATATATCTTGTACCTAACTTTTAGTAAAAAGTCCATAACCCTCAAGAGATTTGTAATTTTGTAACTCTTCAAATGTATATACACTGACTCTATTCATAAAGATAACAAACAATGTCCATACCTTAATTATTTTTTACTAAGTACTAAAACTGGTGACCATAATGGCAACAATGCTTTTCCCTGTGTGATCTACACACAAGGGCATGGACCCTGCCTTCTGCATAGTACCCTTTGGGAAGGCACTTGTCGTATTATGAATAAAAGCTGAGGTGTTGTCTGGAGCAAGTACTTTCTTTGTCTGTCCGTGTTGGTGTCTCAGTCATGGTCTCAGCCATGGTCTCAGTCATGGTCTCAGCCATGGTCTCAGTCATGGTCTCAGCCATGGTCTCAGCCATGGTCTCAGCCATGGTCTCAGTCATGGTCTCAGTCATGGTCTCAGCCTGCCCAGAAGCAGACAGGAGGGGTCGGATGGGTGGGTGAGTGTTGTGACGCCAAATTCATGCAGGGGCAGAGCTGCCTCGCCCTGTGAGTATTACTGGGTTGCATCCATAGAATAATCCTAAATTGCATTTCTTTGACTTTAGGGGGTGTTGAACGCTTCATGAATTTAATACATTTTTTAGCTCTTATACTGCCGTCTGTACATTTTAACATGTCTATCAAAATTATAAAATAATTTGCACTTGAGTAGTTTGTTTATGCGTTGATTATTACATTTGTTGTCTTTTAAAGACATGAAATCTAATTGTGGTATAACTAAGATAACTGACCATTTAAATATTGCAAATTATTTTTTATTAAAATCAATGGAGCGATAGGTATTGCTCTGCACACTTTATTAAACTCCCTGTTTTGTCTAAAAATCCATTAAATTCAAGTCTCCTTGGTCATCCATATTATATCTATATATCCATCCATCCATTTTCTACCCTTTAATCCATCTCTGGGTCAGGGGGGTGACAGTCAGAGATGCCACCCAAGTCTCATAGCACCAGCCCCTCACTGACCCTCTGCAGGTGGTGAGTCCACAGGAGGACGGCTGCTCTCTGAGTGAGAGCATAGCCTTGATCTTTCAGTGGGGGCTTTGGGCAAAGTGGGGTTAAGTGTCTTGCCCAAGGACACAACGACAGCAGTCATCAGTGGGAGTCAGTGGAGAAGGTGCAGAGGTGGGAATTGAACCCACGACCTTCTGGGCTTAAGGCCAATGCTCTACCAACTGAGCTACTGTCGCCCCTATATCTATATATAATATATATAATATCTATATATTTTTTGTGCCATCTTTGAATTAACAACGATTTCCTGTTTAACGTTTTTGCTCAATTATTCCACAAGGTAGAGCCATGAGGAGTGAAGTTGTTGGTAAATGCCATCTTCCAAAAATGCAAACATTGTTTAGGGTAATCAGACGATTTCAAAGGCAATTTGGATTCTCCAAAATCACACTTAAAAAAGGAACTCAAAACCCCCTACTTGATCAAAAATGTGTTTTGTACTTTACCAATGTAAATCAGGATATGCCAATGAAGATTTTATCCAATTAATTCTAAAGATGCCAATCATTGACTCAAAGTCAATAATTTTTAAGCTTCCTTTATCATAGTCTTTGACCAGTTGTGTATTTTTCATATAGTGAGTTTTGTCACGCCAAATGAATTGATATATTCTAAAGTTTACTTTTCTTATAGTTTAAGGAGAAATATAAAGAGAGTAGTTTGGATAAACTAATTAACCTTCTGATTTTGATAATACATTCCGTCCAAATATAGAGACGTAGGTCTCTTGTGAACCAGTGGTTCAGACTTTTCGTTACTTAATTTTGTCTCTTGTTTTGAGACCTTTGGACAGCTAAATTCCAAGGTATTTGATTTGGATTTTCACAGGAATTCTAATTTGTTATCTGGGCAATTAAGGGAAGTAATTCAAATGTTTTTAGGTTCATGCAAAGCCCTGATGCAATGGAGAAATCTGATACAAGTTTTTTTAAGAATGAATTTGTCCTTCAGAAAAATGTCAGTATCATCAGCAAATCGACTCAATCTATATTCAGTGTCATTTATTTTTATTCCTTTTGATTTTTTATCGTTTAATATGAGAATAGCCATCAGTTGAGTACACTGTATTAATAGTTTAGTGAAATTGGACAATCTTGCTGAATTCCGCAAAAGAGATGTTAATTCTCGGCATGATTCCGGCATGTAGAGAAATTTAACTATAGATTTCATTATAAAACATTTTGATCACTTTACAAAATTTAGCACAAAAACCACAAAAATGGAATCAGAGGCCTTGAAAAAATCTGTGAATAAAATCAAGTTTCCAGAATTTCAAGGAGTGTGATAATCATATCTAACATTAATCTGACATTGTTTTGTGTTGATGAAAGCCTTTGATGAAAGCAGACTGATATTCTCCTGTTGATAGGTGCAAATATTTTTGATTCTATTTGCGTGTGCAAGGGCAAATAGTCTTTATTGGGCTTAGGCAGCAAAGTTATTAAACCTGTTTTCATTGTTGGGGACGATTTTCCATAAAAAATGCATTAGTATTAGTAGTTATTTCTTGCCAAAGCGTTTCATAGAATTCTATTGTTAGGCCATCTATTTCATGTTATTTCCCAGGTTTCATTTCTTGAGAGCATTTTCAATCTCAGATATTGTGAGATCTTCCTCTAGTAATTGTTTAACCCTACTTATTGTTTTGATGTCATGATGTTTTTTCTGAGATTTATTCATATATCAGTTACTGTAAACATTAGTTACCTCTTCAATTATTTTGTTAGGGTCCTCATTTACAATATTGTTTGATTTTTTTCATTTGGTGATATTTCTTCTAGATTGACGTCTTTTATAAAGCCTGTAAAAATAAGTTGACCACGGAACCCACAATATTTCTTGAACTCAATTTCCTATATTAACACCATTTGACAAAAAACCATCAACCATAGAATACGTCTCTTTTACGAAGGCTTTTTGACCCCTGCCGCGCTCCTCCTCCACTGCTGGCCACAGCTTCGCCCGTGCCTCTCGGTCTTCTTTGGAAAAGTCCTCTCTGCTCACTAGCGCTTCCTTCGACTCCAGAGCTCGTCCTGTATTGTCCTCATACACAATTGAATGATGATTCTCTGAGTTTGTCCACAGACACAGGAAGCACTTTTGAGAGAATTCCAATCACTGATTCTTGTGTTTTCTCATTTTCTTTCTCAGATAGACCTGTAAGCTGAAGGTCCCACCGTCTCTGGTATCAGGCCCTTTCCAGGCATTTCTCTTTCAGATCCTTTTTTTCTTTTACCAGTGATTGTACCTCTGCTTTGAGCTTGTTTACTTCCTCTGTATTTTCTTTTCTTTCTTTCTCTGCTCTTATTTTAAGCTTTTTGGGGTTAGGACTGCTGACTGGCTTTGGTTCATTTTCACTTTCTCCTCCTGTTGTATCCATCTCCATTTAAATTTTCTCTGGCTTTTATTCAATTGGTGCAGAGTACACGTGGTCTGAGATGCTAATTGATAGCTTCGGGTTAGCCATTTCTTCAAATATTAATTTTGCACTTTTGGTTGAGGTGTGCACCTTTGACCTTAAAAGAAGAGTGTGGCATCAAGAAATGTGTCCCCGTTGTTCTGCTGCTTCTTCACCAAAAAAACATTCAGAACATTTGGGCAGGGTTTGGGTAGAAGTCATATATTAAATGTGAGCTTTCATATGATTGGATTTAAAATGTCATTGTTGGACACTCAGTTTCTTGCCTCTTTATGTTTTGGTTTGTAGTTTCGTCCAATCCATTTGTCTGTAGGTGGTCTCAGCGCTGACGCTTCTCTTGATGTCCAGCAGAGAACACAGAGTATCATTGAGCTAAAACAATGACAATAAAATGAAAAAGAAATGTATATTATAGAGCACAGTCTTTACTCAACCTCAGCAGCCGTCTTGGTTTTTAAAGCCTCTACCCACTTTGAACGGCTCAGTCAGGTCAATCCACAGCAGCTCCCAAACAGCAGACACCTGACAGACAACAGGAATTAATGTTCACTGGTAGTTGAATGGGCACAAAAAATGCAAATACTTTCATTGTTTTGAGTGGTGCAACTGAACCCAGTGTCTTCAGTTGCACCACAATGCCCTCATGTTGACATTGTGCAAACTCAAAGAACGATTTATTAATCAAAAGCAGATGTGAAAACGTGGAAGTGGACAAAAATGGGGGGACAAGAAAGAGGAAGGTGCTATATATGAAGCAAATGTATGATGTATGAAAAGAGAAGATATTATGACTACCAACTAATAACATTAAAAACATGTCAAAAATCTGCACAAAAGATTTTAATAAGAAACAGTTGACTGTTGATAGAATTTGTTACACATTGTATTACTATTTAATTAATTACAACAATAGATATTATGAGATAAGAGAAAAATCAGACCATGAAAAATAATTAGTAATGAGGCCACAGCAATGTGAAGAATACATGAAACGTAATCTATCTTTTTTACTAGTATATAATTTTAATATATTTTTGTTAGATACAAATACCTTTGTAACGAAGAGACATACGTGCTTGGACATACAAAGAGTATAGACGCAGCAATGGCGGCTGGGGCACGAGAAATGCATTTTGGATTTTGGTCAACCTACAGCGGCATATTGTTGTCAAAATAGGCGGACTATTCTTGCTTAGGTATTACATTTCACAAGTATAATTGAACATTTTTATTGGTTGTAGGTTGTGAATAGATTATTACTGAACTGTATTCATGTCACCAACAAAATCAGACACAAGAACATCTGACTATTGAATAGCAACAAGCTAACCCACAACTTCAGCAGCTTTGGTTCATTATCAAAATACGAGTTTTGTCGAAGGTTCAAAAACATTTGTATGAGGAAAATAGGAAGAAGTTAATAGGAATAATATGAAATAAGGAGATATGAATTCATCTAATTAAAAAGGCTGTGTAGTATGTTTACAGCCACTAACTGCTTAGTGTATAGGTTCATATATTATTGTATATACAGGGTTCTATCATATATTAGTGTATATACAGGGTTCTATCATATATTAGTGTATATACAGGGTTCTATCATATATTAGTGTATATACAGGGTTCTATCATATATTAGTGTATATACAGGGTTCTATCATATATTAGTGTATATACAGGGTTCTATCATATATTAGTGTATATACAGGGTTCTATCATATATTAGTGTATATACAGGGTTCTATCATATGTTGCAATGCCGCGGGTAGGTGTGAACTCATGCTTCCTTTTTATTGAGGTGGAGTAAGTGTGTGTGTGTCGAGGCTCAGTAGTTTACAGAGACCGTGACTTTGAGGCTGAGTGGTTTACAGAGACTGTGACTTTGAGGATCAGTGGTTTATGAAGACTGTGACTTTGAGGATCAGTGGTTTACAGAGACTGTGACTTTGAGGATCAGTGGTTTACAGAGACTGTGACTTTGAGGATCAGTGGTCTACAGAGACTGTGACTTTGAGGATCAGTGGTTTACAGAGACTGTGACATTGAGGCTGAGTGGTTAGCTGAGACTGTGTTTTTGAAGTTAATGGTTCTCGGCGATCTTACAAAACCCCTGTTGCCAGTGTGAGTGAGGGACGATGAAATCAGGTCAGGTGGTGTACACTGTGATGGAGGTGCTGATTGGCCTGAGCTGCTGCGTGGGGAACCTCCTGGTGCTGCTGGTGCTGTGGTCGAGCCGGAGCCTGCGGCAGGAGCCTACCTACTGCCTGCTGCTGTCCCTGTGTGTGGCGGACGCCCTGGTAGGGGCTGTGGCAGTCCCTCTGGCGGTGGTGGTGGATGGTCACGTCAGAACGTCCTTCAGTCTGTGTCTGTTCCTCAGCTGTGTGACTCTGCTCCTCACCCTGAGCTCTGTGCTCTGCCTCACTGCCATCGCCCTGGACCGATACCTCAAGGTCTACTTCCCCATCAGGTAACTTCAAAACAGTAACTTCAACAGACTTTCAGCAGACTGAGACCAGTTTGAGGCGTCACATGTTGCAGCCTTGTTTAGTGTTCACATCTTACTATTTTAATCTCGATATCGGTGCGAGAAAAGAAAAAAAGACCAAATTTTTTTTATTTTTGGTAAATGTGCCTAAAACCAAGTGACAGAGATGCTCCAATGAGGTAGAGTTCAGTTCAAGTTGATATAGAGACTCAAAAATGATTCGATGATTGCAATTGCAGGTATTTATAAATGTTGTTTTGGACCGTACAGTGTAATGTGTTACTCAAACGTATACTTTTTATGGAACCATAAGTTTTATGGAACCATAAGTTCTTTAAGTCATTCTGATACAGTTTAAAATGTATCAAGAAATTCTCAATAAGTGTAAAATTTTGTCTTTTTCATGTAATTTCCTGTAGTATCTAAATCAGTATCAAGTTTCTATACTAGCTTTGGTACTCAATACTTTTCAAGGCTTTGGACAACATTACTTGAAACAGGGGAAGGTTGCAATGTTCTGTTACTGTAATTTGGAAAAGATGCTCTTTCTTAATTAATATATTATACGCATATTCAAATGGCACTCTAGGCCCCGTTTATAAGGCCGCGGAAACGCTGTGAAGCAATCAGCAAAAACGATCAGGCTCCCATAGAGCGTTTCGATTGCTACTGAATTATTATTTGTTCTTAACAGGAGGCCAAACAAATACCCAACTCTAACTCGCAACGTCTCTGTATAAACGGGGCCTATGATAACCAGTGTGTTTTTATAGAAAGTACTTTACAAATAGAATGTAATGTTATGGTGTGGTATGTATTTTATTTGAACAGGGCCAGTGTACAATTAAACAATAACACAAGTAAGAGATGCACTGTACCAGACTATAGCAAAGATGCTACTTTCCACCTGCAGTCCCTGGGCAGGCAGATGTTACAGATTCATCTAAACTGATTCTAATGCATATAGATACAAACATGGCCGTGTGTTGCGTTTATAGTCTTTAGATAACATAATTTATTTAAATATTAATCAAAATAAAGTTCCCCAAAATCTACAAAAAAATGTACCCACACTCACTCACTATAAAGTTAAACATGTATGCAAACTTGTTTTTTTAGTAGCCATTTCTTAGTCAAACAAGAAAATGTATAAAAATATAGTACACGCAATAATCTATGAGATTAATGAGTAGGTGTGTTCCACCTACTCATGGCCGTCACAGAAAAAACAGATTTAGCTAAAGTTATTTTTTGACGCTGCATTCTCCTCTAGAGGTGGGTCGAGTTGTGTCATCAATGTTACGAATTTTCTTAGAGGAAGTGCACTAACACCATGGATCATTTTAAACAGTAAGCAAACATTGGAGTAAAATGTTAGGCTTTCGAAGTTGAAAATCTTGTATTTCTTTTTTATATTTTTAGAGAGGATGGGACAGTGATTTAAATGAGAGAATATGAAATGTGTTTTACAATTTTATTAATCACAGCAGCACACATACAAACACACACCTACATACATACACACATATACACACACACACAAACATACATACACACATATACACACACACACATAGATGCATACATATACATTTTAAACAACCTACTTATTATTGTTATTTCTAAAGATACAAACGGACAGTGACACGGAGACACTCCTGGTTGGTGGTAGCCGGATGCTGGCTCGTTGCGGTCCCTCTCAGTTTCACTCCCGCATTCGGATGGTTCAACCAGGACACTTCGCCCCACTCAAACAGCTCTAGGATTCTCTGCCAGATCATCGCCGTCATCCCCATGTCTTACCTGGTTTACATACGGTTCTTCCTCTGCCATCTCACGCCTTTGTTTGTGATGATGATGCTGTATATTACAATATTTTGGACAATTCATAGAAACCTGAGGAATACACCAGGCAACGGATTTCAAACAAAGTCCCACATCTATTTGAAGAAAGAGAAGCGTCTTGCTGCTTCTCTGTTTCTGGTCTTGTTGTTGTTTGTGGTCTTCTGGCTACCGCTGCACATTATGAACACTGTCTCTTACTTTGGTGGAGAAACTTTAATACCTTTACCGGCTATTTATGCCGGCATCGTGCTTTCTCATGCAAATTCAGCTATAAATCCTATTGTCTATGCATTTAAAGTGCCAAAAGTCAGAGAAGCCTTCTTCAAACTTTGGAAGAAGTACACATCCAGTGGAGAAGAAAGACAGAGTGCAGAGAGCAGCCAGACCACAGAGGATGACAAAAGTAAAGCACACGTTATGGAGGCAACGTAAGATTTACTGCAATTCAATTTGTTTTTCTATTGTACTAAATCACAATAGTTATCTCGGAAAAAAACTGTGAATTCGCCAAGACAGAGAATCCAACAGTTCAAACACAAGAAATGCAATGATTAAATAAACAAATGGAGTCAAAGTCCATAAAAGTCGTTGAAGGTTGAGTGTCCTGGATCACCACTGTCCTTAGGCCTAAGAGCTTCACTTGCTTCTTCTAAATATTCAAGGCCGGGTCATTTCCTCTTCCACGCAGTGAAACCTTTCATGTCACTGCTGTTTTAGTTGTGAACAGCAAGTTACTCAAGCTAAGCTATGTTTTTAAACTTGTGTACTTTTTTTAAAATATTTTATATTCTGCATGTAACATAAGAAATAATATTTCAACTATATGTGCTTTGTGTTTTTATTCATGTTAAACTGTCATCAATTTAAAACTTAAGATACAGATGATCACTGCAAATATAGCAAAACATTTGTTGGAACGCAATCGATCAATTTTCTTTATAAAGCACAACTCATGCAGTGCTTTACAAAAGCATAAATCATACACATTTATAAACATTAAAAAACATTTATGCATAAAAAACACTGAATGTCAGAATTAAAACTCATTATATAAACGCTAAAGAACGCTTTTCAGCTTAGACTTAAACAATGCTAGAGATGAGGCCTTGTCCTGACCCTGGCACCAGCAGGGGGCTGTCATGAGGTGAGATGCATGAAGGACCCAAATGCACGAATGCCAAAAAAATAATGGTTTAATGATAATAAAATAAAAGTCCAGGTGAAAACAAACTCAAAATCCAAAGGAACAAGGAACCAGGAACAAGACGGAACATACATTGACAATGCAATGGACCAGCAACAAGGGGAGAGGAGCACAGGTGCATAAAGATAGAGACAAAGATGAAACACATCAGGAACAAGACAGGAAGTCAAACTAAAAATGAAACCACAGAGAACAGCAGTCAAAATAAAACCAAGTACAAAATAAGTCCTCGTGATCCTCAGAGTCCCAGCAGGAGACCAGTCCCTGTTCTCCTCAGAGTCCGAGTTGGTTCATGGCACCAACATGTCACTGACGCTGATTCCCTGATGAGCCAGGTCCTATGCAATTAAAAATACTGAAGAAAATGACATGGTCTGGAATCGTGCCACAGGTAGAAGACATGTTTTATTGATTTTAATTTAACATTTTTAAAACAACAAGACCAACGTTTTACAGAATGCACAGGGCTTCAGACAAGACCAACCAGACACTCATCTCAAAGTTTGCCATGGCACCAAATTTGCCAACCTTCAGATAATCAAAAGTGGAAAATCACCAGCTTATGCATACTTGCATAATAATGAGTTCAACTTCAACCACAGTTGCTTCAAAAGTGTTATAACATATCCATAATACTGCACAAATAATATTGTAAATAAAAGTTATTTAGTTGTGAATAAATATGATTTAACAGATATTGATGTGTGTACATAAAACTACATAAATATAATGATAACACAGAGACCACAGAGCATGTCATACTCACCCAGACCACAGGGTGGCAAAACAGCACAGACTCTTTTTGCTCCTTTCAGGAAAGGTAATAGCCTGTATAGTTATCATCTGAGTAGGACTAAGTTTGTCCCACAAACTATACAACCTACTACCTCACCTTGCTAGGTTCAATTCTAGTCCTCCCTCTCTGATCGGGGTCCTTCTCTCGTGGCAGAACCCGTCTCTTTAGGGAAGACAGTAGATTGTATAGTTAACTCAGAAGGAGGACGCGATCCTCACAACTATTCAATCTACTACCTCAGCCTTAAGGACAGCAGCGAGACCACGCAGGGCAGAAACCTGTGCAGACCTGTGGACAAGAAATATCACATTTCATCTCTCATTTCAAATTAAATCTGCACTTGAAGCGGTTAAGAGAATGACACGTTGAATGGCTATGATGAAGCAGATAGTGTTGTGGTATTTTGGAGGAAATCACCTATGAGGTTCAATGCAGGATGTGTGTCAATAAATTTAGACGTTCAGTTTCAACAGCATTTGAGGAATTAAACTTACATCAGTTGAGTTCACTCACTTTATTTCTATTCGGCTACTATTTATTTATTGTTTATTTGGTTGGGACAGTACATATTAACAAACACATCACTCCGGATTGTAGCCATGGGCTTATTTGCATCCATTGTCCCACATTCGCACGCACAAACACACACTCATTCACCCTGAACTATTGTAGATATTTTTAGTGGTGGGGGAAACCGGAGTACCTGCAGGAAACCTAAGCATACACGGGGAGAACATGCAAACTCCACTCAGAAAGGCCCTGTTCCGATCGGGATTCGAACTCAGAACCTTCTTGCTGAGAAGCGAGGGTGCTACCCACTCAGCCACCGTGCCGCCCACTACTATCTCTTTGATGTGATTTATTTTGGTTATTCCTTGGCCGGTCATCAAGTAAATTCATCGTTTGACGGTTTCTTAGTCGAGTTATTATTTTAAATCAATTACAAAAAAATTAAAACTGGAAAAATGATGTATAGCTAATTTGGTATTAGATATAATATGTGACCCAGTTCAAACCCCAAAAAGTTAAAAAAGTTGCTTCTTTGCTATTAGTAGAGATTTTATACTTGCTTCTTTACTACGCCAAATTTGGAAATGTTATACTTACTTTTTAAGTATGCTAATGTTGCTAAAGTTAGAGATTTTATACTCGGCTAAAGTTTGAGATTTTATACTTGCTTCTTTCTTATGTGTCATGGGGCGACTGGACCTGGGATGTGTGCGATCTATAATAATAACCGCATAGGGTTATTATTAGCTTATAGCTGTCCCACCCACGAGCACAGGGGCGCCCGTGGTACTGCAGACTAAATTCACGCGGGCTACCCAGAAATATTCCCCATAGATCTCAATGTGAACTAAAACAGCTCGACCTCAGCTGACAGAGAACCTACAGCTTTCATAAAGATCGGATTTTAGTGTCCCTTGTCATCCTGAACTTTTTTTCTTCTTAAATCCTTCAGTTTTCTTTAAATCCACACTTTACTGCCACAAACTCTGCTCCTTTCTTTCCCGCTCTGGCTCCACTCTACCGCTGCTCTGATCAGCAGTGCTAATTGGTCAAAGCGCGGCCGAGCCGGGTAGTCCGAGTGAATTTAGTCTGCAGTACCAATGCCTGACCCCCTGTGCCCATGGGTGGGACAGCTATAAGCTAGTAATACCCTATCCAGTTATTATTATAGATCCATGCTCTGTGCACGTGCATGAGAGCCACACATGCGTATTTGACGCAACGTATCATGGGGCTCGTCCACTGCGCAGAACCGGGAGGACCAGACATTGCCCAAATATAGGCGAGTTTCGGTAATATGTCAGCACTCGCAATGTCCCATGCGCTACTGAGCACAAGCGATTCATTTGAATAGGGCGCCATCTTGGATCACCGGGGCTTGGTGTAACTATCTGTATCGACGGCCTCTCCTGTTTGGCTCACCTTAGGCCCCCGGACCTCACCCCGCCAGCGGACCACAAGCCAAGCCTAGGACTGGACCCTACACATTTTTTTAGATTACGTTTTTAAATTAGATATTCCCTTTAGAACTTTTTAGACAAATAAATTGTTAAATTATAATCGCGTTTCCGACGCAGGAGTTCCTGGTAAAAGGAGCGTGGTGACAGTTCTGCTGGAACTGTCCTCTGGCTCGGTCCTCTCAGTGTCCGTGTCTCCACCGCAAAGAAGGACCACTCAGCAACGTCATGAGTTTCTATCGCCGCATAAACAATAATTATTTATTTTACGGTCGAAATCGCTCCAGATGTTGTGGTCTTTTTTTATAGTCTTCTATAGTTTTTTTTGTTCATGTTCAAGACATTGAGTGTGATGAATCCCCAGTGCTTCAAGGTGCGCTGATATATCTTTTCATTTTGCCGCGATGCCACAAACCCTGTCTAAATTTCTACAGTGCCGTCGAAGGAAATTGCCTGCACCTAATCATCCGTCCATTTATCATACATCTTGCTGTTATTGTTTTCAGTGGTGTTTGGTAGGCTAATGCCGCTGGGCTAATGCTGCCGGGCTAATGCTGCCGGGCTAATGCTGCCGGGCTAATGTGGCAGGATTTTTTAAAGGCCGGTTGTTTTGGTGCATTCTGCTGGCGTCAGAGCCTGCTCTAGCCTTATCAGCGCCGGGTTAACCCCAAGCCCCACCGGGAGCTTTTCAGGGCTGAACGGAGTACCTAGCATGGAGGAGGTTGGTTCCTGTAAAAGTTCCTGTAAACTGCCCTGTGGGGGAGGCTCCTGCAGTGGAGACAAACTACCCCAAAGTTCCTAATCTGGAGGGTTTTTTTAATGTAATTGTTCATTTAGCTTGTGCTGTGTGCTCCTCATTCCTACTGTTCTGTAACTGGTGATGCAACACTGAAGTTTTCCCTCTGTGGGACAAACGTGAGTCTCTTCATCTGGAGGATTTTTCGCTTGGTTTTACGGGGGACATGGTGCTTCAGACTTTTTAAATACCCCCTTTTTTAGTCGACCAATCAACCAGGTTTATTTTTATTTCGCTCGTCAAGTACAGCTCTATAGTTATTAATAGTGTAACACAATTTACTGCATTTTAGTTTTAGGTTTTTAAATGTTTTTTTTATCTGCCTAACTATCACAGACTAGCTAAGCCGACGCCAATCTATCATGCATGTTGTTCCTTTGTTACCTTTAATACATTTGCTGTATAGGCCCGGATTACAGATGAATGTGTCTGGGTGTGAGTCTGTTCGTTGTAAAAAAGCTGAGTGGAGGAAAGTGCCATCTTTGTTTAGTGTGAAAGCCACTTCAAGTCCATTGGCAGGGGGCACATGTTTACGATGCCAGCTACAGTCTGAGACAAGCGCCACTGTCTGGACCATAGTCTGGACCCAGAAGCCAACGACCGGTGAAGCCGAGCGAGCACAGACACTGCTCTGGTCAAGTTTGTGCTCTTTGCATAAATTAGCATGTGAACCGCCAGGGCTGAAAAGACGCAGGGCAGTTCATTACCATTTTGAATTCCTCTTTGGTCTAATTAATGCCGGCTGTGATTGAAATGTTTTGGCTCAGTGGAGGTACATGAAGCGGGCCCCCAGGAGTCAAAGCTGTGATTGAGAGGTCTGAATGACACTTGAAATTCAACATTTATAATTTTAATAATAATAATGGGTGGGTTTTTTATGGTGCTTTTTTGGACACTCAGAGACTCTTCACATGATTCATTCACTCCAGTGGTGATAAACTACTATTGTTGCCACAGATGCCCTGGGGCACACTGACAGAAGCGAGGCAACCAGTATGTGCCATCGGCCCCTCCCACCACCAAATATTCACACACAGTGGTGGTGATCCAAGACACTCGGCCTTCAACAACATTAATGAGCATTGGTCATCTGACTTTTATGAACCAAAGGCTCCGTGGGTTTTATCCTATGTTTTAAATGTTTATTTCTCTGATCTGTGCTGGCGAATTTGACGGTTTTGTTAAGTCCTCCCAGATAACCGCTGATGCTACACAATTGATTTAATTTAAATTGAATGAGCCGGAGGGTTCAAAGAGCTAAACAATAGGAAATAGGACATTTCTGTAAATTCAGCCAGATGTACTGATTGTATGAGATTATGATGAGATGAAATAGCCGTAAACAAAAACAGGGACCCATTACTCAGACGACGGTGACATCTCACTCCAACGTTTGCTGCCAGAGAATGGGCATTGTCCTTGTGCCAAACGTAGTCTTAATGAGAGTGAAAGGGGTCTGACCCAAAGGGAGAGCGTTGGTGTCTGTAGAGAAACAGGGCCACAGTCAAAAGAATGCCGCGATATTGTAACGTGGGAAACATATGCTCGGACCAGAGCCACTGCTCCTTATGGTAAAGAAAGCCTCATTGTCTTCAGACAGACCTCCTCCATATGTCGAGCCGTGGTCATCTTTGTGATCTGCTCTATAAACACTGGCATACAGCATACATCTGGCCACTCACAATATAGTGACTATTATGAGCTCCATTCTCCGATTCTTCAGATTTGTCAGAATGTGCATTATACCCTATAAACAGCTCTGCTTGTGTACAAGTCTCTCCATGGTCTTGCACCAAAGTTTAGTGACATGTTAGTCCCATACAGTATGAACCAGCCCGGACTCTGAGGAGCACAGGGACTAGACTCTTGATTTTATGTTTATGACTGAAACATGGCTTGACCATAATACAGGAGATGCAGTTTTAATAGAAGCCTCACCACCAAATTTCAAATTTGAATATGAAACACGAGAAAATAAAAGGGGGGGGGGGCATAGCAGCAGTTTTTAAAGATCGTATTGTCTCCCATAGAGTGTCTCTTGGGAAATTTTCATCATTTGAGTATGTTTCTTTTAAAATAGAACAAAAGAAATCTTCTTCCATTCTTGTTATTGTTGTGTACAAGCCGCCACAGTCATGCCATAGTTTCACTGATCATTTCACTGAGTTGCTTTCAGTTGTGTGCACAGATTTTGATGGTTTAGTCCAGCCATTCCCAAACTCAGTAACACCGAGGCCCCCTTAAAAATCTGACGGGTCTGCGTGGCCCCCCAAAATAATAACCAAGAAGACAACATTAAGAATAGGCTCTTCTGGTTATTTTATTTTGGGGAAATAGCCTCTGCTACAAACATTGTAATACAAAAATGATTACAGTGGATTATTCAAGTCAAATAATGAACACAAATATTTTAATATTACAAACAAAACATTATAAATTTAACATTAAATAATTATATATATATTTTTATTTTTTTATGACCTCCCGCGGCCCCCCTGCAGTACCCTCGCGGCCCACCAGGGGGC